TCTTTGAACTGGTGATTAAGTTAAAATGAGTCCAGTAATGTGGCCTAACCCAATCTGATTTGTGTCTAAGAAGCAGAGGAAATTTTAACACATAAGTAGATACCAGGAAAGTATATGCACAGAGAGAAAAACATGTGAGGGCATAGTGAGAAGACTGACATCTAAAAGTCAAGGAGCAGACTCAAGAGAAACCAACCCTGATAACATTATAATACTTTGATTGCATTTACCTCTTGTTCTCTCATCATCCTATTCCTTCCCTTTTCTTCTCCTGTCCATCAATCCCTCTCTATCTGCCTCTATTTCTTTTACTTCTACTCCCATTGCATCCCAATTCAGTGATTAATTTTACCTGCCCAGAATATTTTTGGAGTTTGTGTACAAAAGCTATTTTCAGTACTCAGAACTTATAATGGCTTTTTTATAGCATTATCTCTGGTTATCAAGCTCAAAGATTTCTATATTTGGCCTAAATTTTGTATCATTGTTCTCCTAAATTCTTGAGATGTCAACTTTCTATAGATTCACAATACTAAGAAGAAATAAAATGATTTTACCTACATTAATTTCATTTGGGGAGGTTAGTAGCACTGTAGCACTGTCTTCCCGTTGTTCATCGATTTGCTCAAATGGGCACCAGTAACATCTCACAACAAATTGTGAGACTTGTTGTTACTGTTTTAAAAATGCATAAATAAAAAAGAAGTACCAATCAACAAAATGAACCATTTTCTAGTTCTTCAAGTACATAATGCGAACTTAGTCCTTAGTTCTCTACAATCATTTTATGTGTATATTTGTGTGTGAGAGAGAGGAACAATAAAACAAAAATGAGTAAATTATAAATTATGAAAATAAAAAATATTAAAATGCTTCCTGTATTTATTTCTGGAGGAGAATTATTATATTTAATTTTTATAGTGCCATGCAATAAAACCGCAGGACCTCACACATGCAAGTAAAGTGCTGTATTGATTAGGTACATCCCATTTCTTTATTTGTCTTTAAATACTTCTCAAAAAGTACATATATTTTAAAATCATATTATAGTTTTTTTATATGTCTACATAAATAATATATGGTTATCAGTCTGAAAACTCATCACAGTCTTATGTAATATAAAAATATTATTATTCCATATTTTTCTAACATAAAGTTCTTTTTTAATTATAAAATACTTCTCACATTATTCAAATCATAATCAGAAAAACAAACATTAAATATGTCTTCTTAGTTCGGAATTAAATCCCTTATCTCTCCATCCACTCACAAATGAAATATCTAAAAGCACTCACATTTGTTGGTGTAATGAGATACTATAGGCAGTTAAAAGGATAAGAAGAGTACAAAAAACAATTAAGTGACAGAAAATTTGACCTGTAATAAGTAATAATTAATCAAGAAATGTGATGAAATAAAATTTTATGCTATCTACAAAAAAATCTGTATAGTAAAGTTTGTTTGTCTCAGACAGAGAAAGGTTTATATAATTTTTCCTGTCAGAGACAAGGTACACACACAAACACACACCCTTAACGCATAACACAGAGAGAAAAAGTTGTACATACTTACATACTCTTTCACACCGATACAAGATACATAAACACACACACACACACACACACACACACACACACACACATACACACACACAAGAAAGCTTGGAGAAGAGGAAAGAAGAGCTCTAGGAAGGACCATGGTATCATACAGTTAAATTCATTGCATGGAGGCCTTGAGAGTAATGTAAATGTTAGATAATTCATTCACTTTAGGGGTAAATAAGGCAAGTTCAAGTACATAGTATTTCATACTCTCTCTAGGAGAGCTCAGAAAGCTACCAAGAGTTATCCCTCCTGCCTAAGTTCATCTTAGGGAGATTAATTTACAGCAAAGCCTGGTAAGTTACCCGTGACATATTCAATATGACAAAAACAGTAATAAAAAGTCTCACAATGAAGATGTTACTGATGCCTGCTTAAGCAAATCCATAGACAATGGGGGGACAGTGCTACAATGCTACAGTATTGCATACATTACATCAGATACTCCTAAATATAGACAGAATACTGCATTTTGGTCTATGACTGTCAGTTTAATTAGGAAGATGAAGGAAAAACTTTATGACAAATAGGGTTTCCTAGTTCAGTTAGTGGGTAAAGAATGCTAGAACAATGCTTAGGGAGATTAACTAATTTTTGTTCTAAGTCTAATTTTGAGGGCAGGTTTACTCTTCTGAGAGGGCATTTCCCTTCAGGATGAACTGCAGAGAGAACATAAGAAAACAAAAGAATGCAAACTCCTCCCACAAATGAATGTAATCATTCTGTGTCTGTCTCTCTCCTTCTGACTCATTTCACTCAGCATCATACTCTCCATTTACTGTCCATCCATTTTTAACTAAATTTCATGCCTTCATTTTTCCTAATGACTGCATAGTATTCCATTATGTAGTTGTTGCATAGTTTATTTATCCAGTCATCTATTCTTGGGAACTTGAGTTGTTTCCAGATTTTGATATGAAGGGATGGGTGTTGGAACGTTATGTGACTGAAACCCAATTATGAACAACTTTGTAACTGTGTATATCAATGTGATTCAATAAATGTTTTAAAAAATAAAAAATAAACATTGAAAAAGAAAAAGAATGCAAACTCCTCTTAGAACAGAACATAGCTCTCTTGTTTGAAAGATCACAAAACATGGCCATTGAAGTTTCACTCACTGCTAATAAGATAAAACAAAAATTATATACATCTCTTCCTCCTTTTTAACTGTTCAGCTTTTCAGAAGACTCTACAATATCCTAATATAACTTCAACATAACTAAATAACTTTAGTATTCATTCTTTTTTTCTAAATTACTAAAGAAATACTTAGGGCTTTATCACATTGTATTAGAACAATGTATTAGACTTTATCACATTGTATTGAATTTAAAGATCATCCGATTAAATTAACCATTTATTTTATAAGAAAAGATTTTTATTCCAAATAGAAAATGAATATATTAGGGAGCCAAAGCAACAGTAAAATAGGTAGAGCATTTGCCTTGCATGCAACTGACCAATATTTAATCCCTGGCACCCCATATAGTCACCCAAGCCCACTAGGAGTGATCTTTGAACACAGAGTCAGTAGTAAACCCTGAGTACCATCAGTATGGCACCAAAACCAATAAATAAACAAATAAACAAATGAAAAATAAGAAGGTACTAGATCATAGCCTAAAACTTCACGGATCACAGTCCTCCCGTTGTTCATCGATTTGCTCGGGCGGGCCCAGTAATGTCTCTATCATGAGACTTTGTTGTTACTGTGTTTGGCATATCTAATACATCACGGGTAGCTTGCCAGGCTTTGCCGTGAGGGCGAGATACTCTCGGTAGCTTGCCTGGCTCTCCGAGAGGGGCGGAGGAATCAAACTCAGGTTGACTCAGTCTGCTGTGTGCAAGGCAAACGCCCTACCCGCTGTGCTATCACTCCAGTCCAGCCTAAAACTAAATAATAAAATTACTATGTCAAAGCACCTATTCCGTATCTTTTCCTCTTTGACAATGGTCTACTTTCAATTCTTATCCTCAACTATATTTTGGAATTTGAAATATTTCTTATATTTTAAATATTTTCACATTTTGGCATGCCATTATGGCAAGAGTCTCTTGATAGGTTTTGTATAATTCTTTATTAGTATCATTAATCAATCTTAATTATAGCTTCAACATTGGAATTTAAACATTGGCTTTAACCAAGAAGTTTCAAAATGAATATACAAGATAATATTAGAGATATAAGTGATATGAATGCAATAAAAGCTATAATGAAGACAAATAGTAAGTGGCAGGGATCCTATCTTAGAAAGTATTTGGAGAAGCCTTCTGACTGATGGCTTTTTTTGTAAGAATGCACTCAGCATATTAAGTATGGGTCAAATAAGTCAAGACACGGCATTTGAGATAAAGAGTTCAGTATTAGTGTTTGAGTATTGGATGAAAGAACTTTACCTTTTGAGGAAAATAAAGATATCATTGTAGCTAAAATATAATCACTGTAAACCTTTCAGAAATTTTGGTACCTGGGGCTTATTAAGCATGGAGCAATGGGTGTTGGAACATTGTATGACTGAAACTCAATTATGGACAACTTTATAATTATATTTCACAGTGATTCAATTTAAAAAACACTAAAATGATAAAAAAAATAAAATTCTCTTTATATACTATACATCACAGATATGGCAGCTCTAACAAATTATGTACAACATAAGTCCTTGGGTAGTTATGATTAGTGATCATGAAATTACCAAGATTGATTTTCTATTAAATTGTTGTCTTTCAGAATAGGTTTCTAAAAAAGAAGTTCAGATCAGGTCACTCTCAATTTTACCTGAATGAAAAATTAGTTGATCTGTATCAAATCCTATGCAGAATATGATAAAAAAAAAGTTTAATCTTGTTTAAACAATTAAACCACGCATAATTTGTTTCCAGCTTTTTCACATTCCTTTTTAATCTTAGCTAATCCTCTTGACCTTTAATCTTGAAATAGTCTTCTTTAGGTATTTATTTTGTCCTATTGATTGCTTCTTACAAAAAAATCCTATTAATAAATTAACTTCATTTAAGTAGAATCTCTTCAAATATTTCTATTCTTCAAATTATTCTTCAAATAAGTTATTTTACTAGTTGTTGATTCACACAGTTTTTTTAAAAAAAAATTATTCCTCATTTATTTAGATTTAAACCAGTTTTCTCTTCATTTGTGTTACCTTGTTAGTGGGTGTCAATTTCTTTTAAGGAAAGCATTAAGTTTTTACCCATTGTAACAATTTGGATACTGTATTTGCAGAGTAGCATATGTAATGAATATTTGTGAAGAATAAAATCAGCTGAGGCCTAAAAAAAAAAAAGGAAAGGAAAGGAGGAGGAGAGCAGAGCTTTTGTTATTAACAGTACTTCAGAAGTTGAAAAAGAAATGTCAGAAGTTACTACCTCTGAAATGGATTATTTTCCAATGAGCTTTCTGAGAGCTCCCTTCACATCCTTATTCCTCAGGCTGTAAATGATGGGGTTCAACATGGAAGTCATAACTGAATAGAACACAGAGATGACCTTGTCTTTTTCACTCATTGTCTTGGAGTTAGGTCTCATGTAGGCAAATATTCCAGAGCCGTAGTAGAGAACCACAACAGTGAGATGGGAGCCACAAGTAGAGAACACCTTGAGCCTTCCCTCCCCTGACTGCATCCGAATCACGGTGGAGATAATGTGACAGTAGGAGACAAAGATGAGAGAGACTGGTGCTAAGAGGATGACCACACCCATTGAAAAGAGAGCCATCTCAGCATCATAGGTGTCTGCTGAAGCCAGCTTCAGGAGTGCAGGTGGTTCACAAAAGTAATGATTAATTAAATTTTGTCCTTGATAGGGCAGACAAAGTGTATAGGCACTATCCACTGAACAAACAAGTGCCCCACTGATCCAGGACACAATGGTCAACTGGACACAAACCTTCTGAGTCATGATGGTGGAGTAATGCAGAGGCTTGCAGACAGCCACATAGCGATCATAGGACATCACAGCCAGCAGAACACATTCTGTACACCCAGCTAGGAGGAAGACAACTATCTGTAGTGAGCATCCAATGAAGGAAATAGATTTCTTTTTCACAAGGAAGTGGACCAACATCTGGGGCACAATGCTTGTGGAGAAACAGAGATCTGCAAAGGACAAGTTTTTGAGGAAAAAGTACATGGGAGTGTGAAGTCTAGAGTCAAACTGGATAAGGATTATTATGATCAGATTTCCAAATACTGAGAGAAAGTAGATGATTAGGAAAATACAGAACAGTAAGATCTGGATCTTTGGATCCTGAGAAAGTCCCAACAAGATAAATTCAGTCACAGAAGTATGGTTTCCTTTTCCCATTGAGGTTTATGCCTGTTTACCTGTCATCAGAAAGAGAAAAAAATTGTTTTGAATGTTTGATTTCACAAATTTTTATAAATAATCACAATGTTAACAAGTATGTCTTAAATTAACTTTTAACTCCTTCTTACTAGCTGTTTATTTGAATTGGGATACATACATACATTTGTTTTTACCAATACACATAGTTTTTAAGCATAGTCTCCCAATTTTGATTCACTTAGTGGCTGAATATCATAATGTGACTTCTCAACTAATCATTAACTTAGCATATTTATATTTTGCTAAGTTATGATGAAGATACATTAGAGTAACTGTATTTGTATCTATTTTTTGTTTGTTTTCACACCACATTTGCTAATACTCAGGGATTACTCCTGGCTCTATGCTCAGGAATTACCCCTGGGGGTGCTCAGAAAACTATATGGGATATTGGGGATCTAATGTGGGTAACTATGTGCAAGGCAAGCACCTTACCTCCTGTATTATCACTTTAGCAACAATTTCCTTTTCTGTTTCTATTATACACTTTGTGTTTACTTGGGTTAATAGTCTGAGAATGAGGAAAACTTGTTAAATCAATAAAAAGTCTTTTTTATTTTACATTTCAAACTAAAAATACAGATGCTAGTCACAATTTTGTTTGAGGTTCAAATATGATTTAGGATATCAAACATAACTTGCAGTCATTAGTTATTTATTTTTTATAGTATTTTATAAAGAGGCTTCTTAAGTAACAATCCAAGCAAGGTTAAAAAAAGACGAAAGAACTATGCACCAGAATCATGGTACTTATAAAAAATAGTTCACATGACAGGGGCTGGAGAGATAGTATAGCTGGTAAAGTGTTTGCCTTGCATACAGCCCACCCACATTCAATGTTGCTACTTCATATTTTCCAAGAGCACCAGGAATGATCTCTTAGAAGCAGGAGTAAGACCTTAGCACCCCTAGATGTGGTCCAGGAAGAGAGAAAGAGAAAAAAAGGAAGGAAGGAAGGAAGGAAGGAAGGAAGGAAGGAAGGAAGGAAGGAAGGAAGGAAGGAAGGAAGGAGAGAGAAGGAAAAGGAAGGAAGGAGAATGAGAGACAAAAGGAAAATGAGAGAAAGAAAATGAGAGAAAGAGAAAGGCAGGAAAGTAGGCAGGCAGGAAGGCAGGCAGAAGGAAGGACAAAGAAAAAAATCGGTATGAGGCCAATATATCAACAAAGAAAATGTGTGAAAACCACTGAGTCCTAAAAGATTAGGCACTCACTACATAGCAGATAAGAATGAGTGTGATTCAAACATTCAAAAAAACATAATTTCTAGGAGAGGAGTAGTCCTAAAAGCAGAAAATTTAGGATCTCATTTAGGATGTCTTTAACACAAAAGAGAAATCAAATGGCATATGATGAATCACTTTTCTTTTTAAACTAAACAAAAACTGTAACAAACATTTTATATATTCTTACAAGTGTCATATTCTTAAAAGAGTAAACTTTATTAATTCCATAAAACAAAATTTGAAAGAATTATAAATATTAATGCAAATAATCAACGAAAATTAATACTACATTTAATAAATAAAACAAACAAGTGGGATTTATTTTAGGAACACCAGGTTGATTCTTTATAAGAAATCCCATTAAGATACTATGTAGTAAGTTGAGAACATAATTGTTATGTTGGCATTTCAATTCAGTTGGGAAAGGTTTATTAAATAGCTTAATTTATTTTACCATTCTTTCACAAAATTAAATGCTATATCATTATGCCATAATACAGAACAAAATAGATTAAAGATGGAATTTTTATATGTCCAAAACCAGAATACAAAAATGTAAGAATATAAGGGGAATGGAAGTTGGGTCAATTAGGCTAAAAGGATAAAAGTCTGATGAGGCATAAAATTGAATCCTCAGTAATGGATTTAATGCAGTATATATGTTTTAAATAGAAATCACTGCATTGAATATAAAATATGCTAACTAGCTGTATATCAGTATATACTTAAAACTTTCATAATATTAAAATACAATGTCATATCATTTTGAAAATTTTTATGGGAGCTACAGAGATGGTACAAGAGTTAAGTCACTCGCCTTGCAATTACAAAGATAAATACAAAGAATTCTCTATCGGTTTTTTATTCTCCATCAATGTCTTATCAGATAAGAAAAAGAAAACTTGGGGATGGAGCGATAGAACAGCGGGTAGGGCGTTTGCCTTGCATGCGGCCAACCCATTCCCAGCATCCTATAGGGTCCCCGAAGCACTGCCAGGAGTAATTCCTTAGTGCAAAGCCAGGAGTAACCCCTGTGCATCGCTAGGGTGTGACCCAAAAAGCAAAAAAAAAAAAAAAAAAAAAAAAGACCAAGCAAACAAAAGAAAACTGATAATGTTACCAAATACATTAAACATAGAAAAAACAGATTTCTGGGTACATATTTGTTGCTTTAGTTATTCAACGGGTATTATGCCTTTGAATATATATTTTTAAATCTTTCACATTAAAACATGTACATTTCTTTTATCCTTTTCTTATTAGTATTTATTTATTTTGTTGACAAAACTTTCACCTTCTTTTATTGACAAATACATTTATGACTGAAAGTTTCAATACGAGTCCCCCAATTTCAAGTTAACGTCAGATCCTGAGAGTTTTCTGAAACCTCTGTTTCACTCGTTAAATCTGAGGTTTTTCAGGCTTATTTCTTAGCTTTTTGTGATCTTTTCAAAACTTCTTCATTTGGTTCTTATGAACCTAATGTAATTTCATGAGTGTGAAGTCATTTAATAATTTTATTTATTATATATACATATATTTTAGCTGCTAGGAAAAACAAGAAAAGTCACAACATTTAAAGTTTCTAATTATAGCCAATTCTTCCACATCTGGGTCCTCTACCTTTCTCTTAGGTATTTTCTATACCATATTCTTAGTTGGGAAAAATTAATCTTAAATTCTCTTCCCAAATCCAACTAGTAAAATCTTATAAGGTTTGTATTTTCTCTGATAATATATTAGAGAGAAATGAAAAACTTTAGAAATATTGGTTCAGCTACTAATCTTGCCAGGCATACATTCCTGTAAGCCTGTTAAAATCGATCTTTTTCTCTCAGAGTAATTGTTGTTTCAACAATAATGATATTTGCTTATATTCTTAATACCATGAATTTCATCTCTGGCTATTTCTTCCACAGTTATAATCTCCATTTTCCCCTTTACTACACAATTTCCTGTGCTTTTGACTTTATAACAACCAAGTAACAAGTGTGTTTGTCATTTTATCCTAAAATTTTCAAAAACCAAGGCATAAACATATTTATGATCTTACTCTAAAATTCTCAAAAATGTGCTTTGCATCTCTCCAGTGTATCTTATTTTGTAGAATTCAAAGTGACTTCTTAATAGTCAAAAAGTATTCATTTCACTTTAAGTTATTCTACTTAATCTATCAAATATGATTAATCTTAAATTTTTATTGTCCTTAACCTCTTAATCCTTATTTCATTCTGGTGATAACACCTTTTATTTTTCTTAAGCATATTTTTTCTACCCAATATATATTATCGGCACTTTTCTGTTTTCTTCATTTTCTTTTAAACTGCTGCTTGATTTCATCTATTCCTCTTAAAAGCTATCAATTAACTGCTGATTACTTCTAAATCTCTAGAGTGACAAGCTTTTTAGAAACTTCTGACTCAGATATCAAACTTCTTAACTTCACTAACAAATATTTTATAAATATACATACAGTAAAAATGATGTAGTGAAGATAGTGATCATGACTGTGATATTTATGACACCATAAGTTATAAGGACACAGCTAGGTTAAATCTGAATAATGTTAATTAACAAATTTGTCATTTTGAGTAATTTAAGTTATATAAACCTCAATTTCTACATCTTTAAAATAATTCAGTTACTAATTTCTCCACTTTCTTCAAGGATTAAATTAAATACTATATAAATATTTACTCCTTCTTAGCCTTTGATCAGAGATAATATGCATAGTACCACTAAACTCAAAATTTAAGGTGGTGATAACATATATCAATATTAACTACAGAGACCATTACCTAGCACAGGAACAAAGAACTAATCTTCATTATTACCTTTGTGACATCAGTAATAATGACAATGTGTCATATTCTTCTCAGATAAAAATACGTTATTTTTACAGTCAAGGAAAGGGCTCCAGGAGCTAAGAGCACAAGTACTGCAAGTCCCTTTTCCACCAGTGCATGATAATCAAAGTATAGTTGGGTGCAGACCCAGAGCACTGCCAAGTGTGTGTGTGTGGTGGCAGGGGGAGGAGAGGGGGCAAGAATTTTTGCATCAAATTGTATAACAGATTCTACTATAGTGACTTGATCAACTATGTCTCTTTAACAGTGCTTAATATTTTGAGATTTCACCCTTAAGCGGTGCATAAGGACCCATGTGGTGCAGGGGGTTCAAGTTCAGGGTTTCAGCATGCAAAGCATGCACCCCTGCCCTTTGAGCAATCTCCCCAGTACCAACAGTTACCTTTCTTATGATACTGTGCATGCCTGATTATGTAACAGGCAAAAAGTTCAGCTCTTTGGTTTTGTTATCTTTATTTACTGTGATACTAGAATCAAAACCAGAGACTTATATATGCAGAGCATTCACTCTATCATTAAACTACATCCCTGGCCCATTATTTGAATTTTATATAAAATGAAATAAAATGATATATGACTTCTTATAAAGTTAAAGTTAACAATAGTATATGAAACATCCTGATCTTCATGCTCTTCGTGCTCTTCTTCATAAGAAGGAGGAAATGACTTGCTGAGTTTTATAGAAACAGTATTAGAGTCTAGATAGTTTGACCTCTGGCCATTCCACTGCTGGTCTTGGATTGTGTAGCAGTAAGTTGGAAACGCTCCCCAGCTCTTTGCTTAGAAGTTGTGACTCATGTACAAAGTGAGTTACTTAAGAGAAACCTGAAATTTACTTGGAAAAATCTGAAATTCAGACTATTTGGAATAATTCAAAAGCTTAGGAATGCTAGTTTTCTAGAATCTT